CCCCAAAACCCCAAAACCCCAAAACCCCACTAGATCATATAAATGCTTGAATTGAAATTAAGTTAAATAAATAAAGCTCTCAATTTATCACAATTTAAAATCATTAGTAAGTAGGAGTATATTAATCTTTTAGCTTATATAGATATCTAAACGTATGCTCAAAACCTTTGAGAAATCTATACTTAGATCTCATTATGAATGACTTTTCATAATCATAATACTGATTAAGCTGACTTATACACATATCTAGTCCCAAATTGATACCGTAGTCTGTAGAATAACTAAAAATCATATACTAGGGGATTATCTATTTCATTGTCTAGTTGCTCTAAAGACTTTGAAGTATATCAATGCATAAATAATAGTCTGGTTTTCTATAATATGCTGCTGATTAATCATCAACTTCCTCATAGTAATTATCAGCATAATAGTATTTAGCTTTAAAGTTTATATCATGATTGAGACTCATATAAGGAGTGCCAAAGCTATCTATAGTCATAAGTGAAAGATACTTATCCTAGGAATTAGGCAAATGTTTATTTCTTAAGTATTCAATTACATTTTGATGATTGTATCTCTAGTCAAACATTTTGAAACAAAATATAAAGACTTAGGAGAGTATTAGTAGATTTAAAAGTAGTCTAATCAATCTTGGATAGATTCTAATTATATCACTGAGTAAACTGCCCATGATTATGAAAATCAATCCAAGTATTGGAAAACAAAATCTGTTTTCCTTATGAGGAACAATTGATACCATTATCATCTGAGTCAGTATCATACTTATCATTATTGGAAATCGCTTGTTCATTTTTATCTCTTTAATCGTATAATTAATCATGCAAAATATTGCGATAGGATACATAAAGTTAAGTAAGACCACAAGTCTTACTCTAAAGTAATCCATAAAGGGATCTACCCCAAAGTCTGAAGATTTATTCTCAAGTATGTTAAATTTCAAGAAATTTATGAAAGTAAAAGTGAACTTTTAGTAATATATAGAATCTAAGATGATTGTTATGCATAGCAGGGGTAAACTAAATTTAATAGTGTTAATTTGATTGAACTTACCTAATAAAAGCAGCAGCTTTCAAAAGTATATTCAAACTCTCAGGTTAGATATAAATCTTATGCATCTAAAAATATTATAAAAATAAAATGCTAGATTACTATTGGAATGATCCAGCAGGCAGCTGAAGTACATCTGATTGAAAATGATATTGCCATTAGAATAGCGAAAATCTTCACATTTCTATCAAATTCAACCTTAATCTCATAGAAATAGTAGAGAGTAATCAAAAGCAGGAATCCCTCGATAGAATTAGTAAATGTCCTCACTGCAATAGTAGTCACAGAATAACAAGATATATATAGTAGCAGACTAATAGTTGCAGCTTCTTTGTTAAATAGTTTGAATGCTAGCTTGAACATGTAAATATCACCAGCTAAAACAAGTATTGAATGCATTGCATAAGGTGCCACATTCTAGAAATAAGAATAATTTAGAAAAGTTGTTTCCAATTTAGATTGTTTCTATTAAAAGGACACTTACAACAGCTAAATGTGTGTCAAGATTCAAGAATCTCAGAATATGAAGAGGAATTGAAAGGTAGCCAGGATATATCACATTTCTTAAACAGTATAAAGGTCTCCATTCCCAAGGTAAATGCATATCTACCACATCTCTAAAATGAAAATTTTAATATTATAGCTTTACGAGTAAGCCATTTTATAAGCAACTTCAGTTCCTTGCCAGAATTCGTCTGGATGTAGGAGTTATCTTGTAAAATACTTAAAAATATGAGAGACAATAGTAATCATACAAGCGAACTGAGTAATCTAATGATGTAGAGCAAAATAATATTTTATCTGCTATCAAGATCTAGTAGCTTAGAAAACGGGATGAATTCTAGAAAATTTAAAGTTTTTTTGGTCATTATAATTAAATAGGCAATAATAAGATTTTATTGATGCCCAATAATAATTTTCTAATTTATTCAAGTAGTGTTAAGCATGGGGTTTTGGGGTTTTGGGGTTTTGGGG